CAAGTTCTTCTTGCTCGGCTCAAGCCTTACAGCCCAAGAAAGGACCGACATGGTTGAGTTTTTGATGGCCAACATCGAAGTCTTCGCATGGTCACCTTACGACATGCCCGGTCTCGATCCGAGTTTTATATGCCATCATCTCAATGTCTTCCCCAGAGCCAAGCCGGTCATTCAGCGAACAAGGAGATCGGCGCTGCATCACGCCGAGGTATTTGCGGAGGAAGTGAAGAACTTGCTTGAGGCGCGAGAAATTCAGGAAGTACACTACCCTCGGTGGATTTCAAACATGGTCGTGGTACCCAAGAAGAATGGGAAGTGGCGAGTTTGCGTTGACTACAAAACCGTCAACCGAGCTTGTCCGAAAGACAGCTTCCCTCTGCCTAGAATAGACCAGCTTATGGACTTAACGGCTGGACATAACAGGCTCAATTTCTTGGATGCCTACCGCGGCTACCATCAGATTGCCATGCATGGGCCCAACCGAGAGATCACTTCGTTTACAACACCAAGGGGACTCTTCTGCTACCGAGTCATGCCTTTTGGTTTGCAGAACGCCGAGGCAACTTTTCAAAGGATGGTGACCAAGATGTTCGCTTCTTTGCTAGACCGGACAATAGATGCTTATATTGATGATATGGTGGTTAAGAGCCGACATCAAGCAGACCATTTGTCCGATTTGGCCGAGATGTTCACCATTCTCAAAAAGCACAAGCTACGCCTGAATGCGTCTAAGTGTGCCTTCGGCGTGGGATCCGAAAAAATTTTGGGTTTCCTAGTCACGAACCGAGGTATCGAAGCAGATCCTACACAAATCCGAGCCGTGCAAGAGTTAAAACAGCCCAGCTCGGCTAAGGATATGCAGCATCTGGCCGGAATGGCCGCCGCGCTTAACCGATTTATAAGCCGGTCATCAGATTGCTGCCGCCCTTTCTTTCAAGCCTTAAAATCTAAGTTCTCATGGGATGAAGAGTGTGACCGGGCTTTGGCCGAGCTCAAGGAGTATTTGTCTTCAGCGCCGTTGTTGGTCACACCGGAGCCAGGAGAAGAACTCTACTTTTATCTGCCCGTATCGCAGCACGCAGTCAGTGCGGTGCTTGTCCGGTCGGAAGGAATCAAACATCTACCCATCTTCTACGTTAGCAAGACCTTGCTACCGGCAGAGTCGAGGTACTTGCCGCTGGAAAAACTTGCGTTAGCTTTGATGATGGCTTCAAGGAAGTTGGCACACTATTTCCATGCCCATTCCATCATCGTCTTGACCGAGTTCTCTCTCAAAGCTTTGTTCAAACGGGCAGATTTCTCCGGTCAGATTCTTAAGTGGGCAGTCGAATTGTGATAGTTCGATGTGAAGTTCCAGCCGCGCACTGCCATTAAAGCCCAGACTCTGGCTGAC